CCTGAAGGCACCTGCCAAGTTAATCTTTGGCTTTGAGGTACGAAATGTGTCACCAACTGAAACTACTGGTGACTTTGAAGTGAGTAAAACTGCCATGCGTTCGGACCTTATAGGGGTAGCGTTGAAGTGGTGGGCGTACTCAAGGCAGTACAATGATCAGGCTAAATCACAGATTGTAAGTAAAGGACATAAGGCACCAGACTGAGGATTTATTGTTCACATAACCCTGCATTACTGTCTCGAGGAGCAGTGACCATTGGCGAAGCCAGGGCTACTGTTGACTGCATTCAGTCATGCCCGAGAGAGAGGCAGCAGTGGCAGCTGCTACTCAATGACTGTGGATCAAAATCAAGTGGTATTCACTCGATGTGATGCATTACTCGAGCGGCTGTCATGGATAGTGCCCCAATGTAAGTCGGTCGGAGGTGAGGTGTTCAAGTGACCCTTAGGCAGCCGCAACTATCTGGACGCACGTATGTGTGTGAGAGTGAAAGTCCGCCAAAGGTCTCCAGGCCAGTAAGACAGATCAGCTGGCCGCAACGCTGCATGACCTTGCCCCACAGGAGCATGTAAAGATGTAGATACACATTGATGTGGTCTGGAACGGCAGTCTTTCCTTGCCTTCAAGGCGAAGAAGTGGTGTGCTTGAGAACAATAATCTTAACTTTGCTGCTGGATATGTACGCGCGATTGCAGCGTTCAGACGAAGCTGTAGAAGTTCGCTTGCTGGATCGCCTTGAAAAAGCAATGTAAGAAATACGGTTTTCTTCTCAACCGTCGGTACCAATTAAGACTAGAATCTGATCCCCTTGATCCCCCTTGATCCCTTTAACCTCTCTCCCCCCTCTTCCCCCCTGTTACTACTGATTGGTTTGCGTAAAACATTCGTTAACTCTACCCTCCATTATATTACTGCATTGCCTGATGATGAATTAATCGAAAACGTTCGTTCGCTTAACTTGACTTCCTTAATGATAGTATTGTTGGCTGTACGCAACTGACGTAATTTAATCAGTAAATATGTCAAAAATATGTAAATCGAGAGCGAGAGAGAGAGAGAGAGAGCAGAAATGAGACAAAACCCACTGGCTTGATTAGGTGAGCAGATTGTTTTGGGGAAAACCCAGTTTTAGAGCAAAGAGACCGGGCACCCCGAAAAGGCATCAAGCAGGAAAGGACTAGGGGGCATACTACATACCCACGTCCAATCAGCGCTAGCGCAGTAACGAGGACTTGAAGTACCCTCGGATTCAGAGAATACAGCGTGAGGGCAGGGCGGGGGCGTAAAGAGGACCGTGGAAGGAGCGGCGTATGCGGGAACCACCAGAGCGTGCTGCGAGTCCACTGATACCTCCTCCTAAAAGGTGATGCAAGAAGTTTGTGAGATAGGCTACTTGACCCGAAGAACATCATATTATGTAGCTGTGTTGACACCGTGTCGGAATAAATGCAAATGGTCTAATGGTCCTGAAAACACGAAAGGAGAAGTAAAATGAATAATAAGCTAATACATACCAACATTTTAGAACGGCGGGAACTTTCAAAAACGTGGAAAAACGTTCTTAATCGCTTTAAAATGTCCAGAATTGTTTCCATGCGAAAGATCAGTAACTAAGTCGGGGCAAATATAAAAACGGGTAGGGCGTTCTTGTGAGGTCGCTTAAAAGAACATGTCACCCACGTCCATTTGTCTTAATTACTGTGGTCAAAGGAAACAAAAGAATGGGATAGCGCATCGGGTGGGAGAGTGCGCGGTAAATGAATAATTGATGTCTTTATACCGCCATGTGGTGAAAAGAAGTGGAAATGTAGAAGGTCGGTGAGTCTCCCGTTATTGTGTCGATCGCCGAAGAACACGAATAGTACTGTCCGCAACGTCAGAACATGTATCACTATAAAGTAAATGAGGTCTGCTATCTTGCATGCCTTGGCAGGCGAGGGGTGGATAATTTTGGCGAGTTAGCCCTTTAAAAGTGTTTAAATTAGGTAATTCGCTGAAGAATGTCTCCGTGATTTAACGTTTTCATAGCGTAAAGGGAGGTGAAAACTCACGAGGCAGATTACGCATTTCAGAGCGGACGGTTTCTTCTCCAGCACCTTAAGTCGGTCAACAAGCGCAAACGGTCCCAAGACCGCAAGTCTTGAGAGGTTGTTCGAGTCGTGGGAAAAGTCCTCAGGCTTCGCTTCTTCCGCCTTCGCCTGAGGCTGAAAATAGCAGCGAGAAAGGAACATTTTAATTGCAAAATATTCACATACAACTGGAAACCATCAACAGAATATGCATCTTTTAGTCACTTGACGTGTAGGTTTCGTGCTGATGCGGACAGCAAACACGCCTTCACTTCCTGCAAACAAAAACACTGTAACATCACGTCTGCTCAGTTCGGAATTGAAAGCACGAGTCAGCCACTCAAATAACTGCAGCTAGTGCAAAACAGACATATATGGCCCATGACAAGATCTACGACCCAATTTTAAGTATTTATGTGAGGTACATGTCCATTTCCACAAACAGACAGACCAGAATCACGATGAGAGTCCAAAGGCACCCTGAGATCCACAGCCCGTCTTGAACCCAAAAAGGACAGGCGACTTTGCGGCCACCATAGTGTATTTTTTGTTTTCTCATAAAACTAACGCTTTTTTGTTGAGTACACATTGAACTCTTTTCCATCCGGGGTGACCTTTGCAATTGAAAGAATAATTTAGGCCCGATATATGACCAACCACACCAGAATGCTCAGCAGATTTTAGGTGGCGGCATCCTACCACGTTCTATGGATGTTACAAAATAATGGTTGGAAAAACACACTGCCTTGTAAAGCATCCCACAACTTTCGTGTTTGCGGTCCTCCAGACTGGCGGAGGATGATGTACAGACAGCTGAAAGAGCCTTCGTTACCGGACGGCAACGTCCAGTACCAAAGATATTGGGTTCATAAACAAGTGCATTACACTGACACCTGATAGGAACCGGATGTGTCGAAGTCTTCGAGGTTTGAATTATATCGCTACTGGTTCGATGCGATCGAAGCGAATCGAAAGTTATGAAGCCGTGCTACACTGAACAAGAATAGACCACCAGTCAATTTAATCAAAACCAGATTTTATCTTCTCGGTCTGCAAACTTTATGGATGACAGACAAGGAAATTGCAGGCCATGCCAACTGCTGCACCCGCGCACAGCTGCCCCTAACAACCACATAAATGTCGGTGCTAACGGTTCGGCAAGCTAAACCAAAAATAGGTGACCTGTACGCTAACAACCACCCTACTAAAATCGAAACAAAAAGTGCTCTCTCCAGTGAACGACTCGCTGCTATGCACTGGGCAACACACGGCCAGTAAGTGTTTGCAAAACGACTAACTTGCATCAAGGTCAGCATGAAAAAGCAGAAGGACTCACTGATTGAACAGTCGTCTTTTCCTTTGCCTGCATGACATCCTCGAGCTGCGCACTCGCGGCAAACAGCTTACGCTGCATTCTCGCCATCTTTGCAATGAGACTCGATCCACGTTCGGCTTTTAGTCGACGCTCCTCCTCCACCTTTGAAACTTGCAGCTCCAGTGAAAAATAGAGGGGGATAATAATTTTTAAAAAACTCATTTTTACGCGCACTTTATACGGCAATTTTTACGACTGATACATCGTACCCTTTGCGGCTACTCCATACATAACAGCATCAAATGTGGCTGCAATAAATGGACCAATCCTTTGCCCACAATCGGCCCAGCAGCACACGCAATCACCATCCCCTTCTGATAAGTTTTCTACGTAAGCGTTTTCCTGCCGTAAAAATCTGTAGTGTAATGTCCACTTATTTCGACCGTGATAGGATGACCGACGCGTCACGAGCGCCTCAGCCACTGAACCACATATAGTTGGTCCAGAACAGACATCACGAGACCATTGTAATATATAAAATTGCCTAAAGTGGAGAATATGCGAGTTTCAGGAAGCAGTTCAGAAGAAGAAGATGCGACCGCTGGAACAACATCAGTAACTGTCAAATGCATGTAGCGAAAGAACAGCCGTTATTACATGTCCATATGTAGGGTGCATGCGCATTTGCACAGACAGACAGACAGCATCAGATTACAAAGGCGCCATGAAATCCACACCCCGACGTGAGTTCAGGAAGAGCAGGCGACTTTGCGGCCACCAAGGTATGACGATGGTCCGAAAGTATTCTTTGTTTTCTCATAAAGCTAGTGTTGCTGAGGCCGCCTTGAACTTTTACCGTCCGGCGTGCTCCTTGCAATTAAATAAAAAGGTCTCATATATCATCAACCACACCAGAGCCCCGGCAGATTTTAATAGGCGGCATCCTTTCACGTTCTATAGATGTTACAAAATAAGGGTTGACAAAACGCACTGCCTGCTGAGACATCCCACGACTTTAGTGTTTGCGGTCCTCCAGACCGACGGAGAAGGCTGCATAGGCAGCTGAAGGGTCTTCGTTAGTGGACGGTAATGCCCACTACTAAGGTCTCTGGGTTGATAGACAACTGAATTGTGTTATTGGCCTAGCCGTTCCGAATGTCAGTACAGTAGTCCCCGGTTATTAAACCCACGGTTAATAGGCCAAGCCGCGTATTAAGCCCAAATCAGCTTGGAACGGAATTTTAAATAACAAAATCCGCCGGCTAATAAGCCCAGTCACCGGCTACAAAGCCCAGTTTGCCCTAAATCCGCCGGCTAATAAGCCCAGTCGCCGGCTACAAAGCCCAGTTTGCCAATGATATAGAGTGAGATTCTCATCTCTCTGCGTGCGCAACGCGGTCTACAGGCATCTAGATTTTCACCCCTCTGCTAGCGCAACTGGTTACATAATTTTGGCTAGTCTTACGCAAATGAACTCATTCAGAAGGAAGAAGTGAGCAATGGAGGAGAAGCAAATGAGGAAGTTGTTGTTGATGATGATGATGAGGAGGAGGAGGACGAGGAGGCACTTCCCACTGCTGCACATACACGTGTGCACAAGCATGTGCGACCACGGGCGTGCCAAACTCGTCGCAGTTCGTCAAGAGCCACCTAGGCGCGCCACTAAGTTGGTGCACTCAATTATCGACACCCCTCGAGTAATCCACGCATCAATTATGCAACACTTCAGCTCGTTTGAAAAGCTGTCACATATCACACAGTGAGTTGCACACGGACAGACAGAGGCTTGCAGACTTTGTCAGGGATGACTGGACACAGTTTAGCCTCAACCCGGGCTTCGCCCCGCGGCCATATTCAGCCCGGTGGATTTAAGCCAGCGACACACTGCCACACGAAATAGCAACACCAGGTTTTGAAGACAATAAAACCCTCATCCAGGTGGCTTCTAGGTTTACGCCCTTCTTTTCTATTCTTCCTTGGGGATTCAAAAAGGGCGTAAATAGACAGTGACACGACACGACATGTCACCGTTACAACAAATTACACGGATATTTCATATACACTGGGCGTATCACTCTTCGAGGTTTGAGAAACATCAACTTTTGTTCCAGGCGATCCCGCCTCTAAGCAAATCAAAAGTGATTACCTTGTGACACACGAACTGTGGATAGACCAACAGTTTAGAATCCCTGAGTCAATTAAGGGCAGGTTTGAAATTATCGGGCTACTAAAAGAACAGACGACAAACAGGTAGCTTGCAGGCAATGACAACGCACAGCTGCCCCAACCAACCACATAATTGTCAGTGCTAACGGTTCGGCAAGCCAAACCACAAATAGGTGACCCGCACGCTAGCAAACACCTTACTAAAGCCGAAACGAAAAAGGCTCTCTCCAGCGAACGCCTCGCGGATACGCACTGGGCTACACACGATCAGTAGGTATTTGCGAAATGAGTGACCTGCATCATACAGAGCATGAAAAAGGAGGAGGACTCACTGACTGAACAGTCGTCTTCTCACTTGCCTCCACGACATCCCCAAGCTGCGCACTAGCGGCAAACAACTTACGCTGCATGCTGGCCATTTTTGCAAGGAGACTCGATCCACGCTCGGCTTTTAGTCGACGCTCCTCTTCCAGCTTTGAAAATCGCACCTACAGCGAAAAAGGAACAAGGATTATGATTTTAAAAATACTCACTTGTTCTCGCACATCATACGGCAGATCGTACGACTGGTGCAATCCACATATTGCGGCTACTCCGTAGTTAACAGCCCAAAACACGTGATACTCTGCCCATTATGAATAGAGCAATTGTTTGCTCACAATTGGCCAAGCAGCACTTGGTACCACCATGCCCTCCTGTTCAGTTTCCTTCGTAATGTTTAAAATGGCACATTATGGCACAGGTAATGCTCTGACCCAATAACTCCATAGAGGGCACTATATTATCAAATCGCGCCTTCTTCTGGAAGCGGGCTTTTAAAATGCGCTACCTGTCATCGAATGGCTTGCGCAACAGGTATCTATGCCATTATCCCCTCATGGCATCAAAAAGTGGACGAATATTGATGAATTAAAAAATCCTGAAACTTTAATGGAGGCCCTGGACACAAATTTGCCCTCAGATCTACGAACTACAGCTATCCATTTGAATAAGACGGTTAATTATTAAAAGCTGTAAACTTCAGTATACAGTAGTCGCCGGCTATTAAGCCCACCTCAGGCCCAGACCGAATT